TTGAATGCAAGTTGTCCTTTGCAATGAAATGTGACCGATGTGTGAAACCAGTGCTTTCATCTTTGGAGAGATATCTGATCGCTTAATTCTTTGCTATTGGTGTTCACATAGGTACCACCGATAGGCAAAGGATAATACTACAACTTTGAAAATTTTCTGGAACAACGGCGCCCGTTTGAAGGCCGAGTTGTGCTAAAAAAAACTTTCGCCATCTACGCGAGAGCAATTTGTCATACGTTGAGAAGGGGTACGTTGGATAAGTTGCTAAAACCTCACACAGGTTAGTGTGTGTAGCAGGGTGAATATCGGTCGAGGATTCCTCAACGGCTTGTCGAGGATTTTCGCCTGATCAGTTACGTCTCCCGCGCGGACATTCACACTCGCCATGCGCGAGCCGTCTGTGCTCTCCGCGCGTACGTTCACTCTCGGCACTACTCTCGCACAGTACAGAGCCATGGTCGAGGAATTCCTCGACCGTTATTCACCTTGACGTGCAGCTCCCAAAAAGGTAATTTATCAAAATTCCGCACAATGGAAATACTATATGCTCTGAAACTGGTCATTTTTTTAACATGATAAAGAGCTGTGAATTTTTTGACCAAATGACTCACTTGGACTCCACAGAGCAAGAGCGAGAAGCGCTGCGTATTCGGTTTCAGTGATTTCTAGATTTTGCATGACGGTGAGCGTGCTGATCCTTTCTCCGTCTTTCAAGCACTCTTTCAGCATCCTCAAATAAGAATGACTAAAACAAATTAAGTTTCAACCATTTTTTTTACATTTTTCAAGCTTACTTAACACTTAAAAGCCACATGGATATAAAACAAGGAGGATTGCAAGAGTGGTCGTGCACATTGCCCCTGCCCAAATGGAGGTGCGGCAACTGCGATGTTAGGGGAATGTGCAACGAAGGCAACATGTTCACGCGATAAGAAAGGCCTCTAGATTTCGGGGGTAGAGGGGAAACGACCACGAGTAACTCTAAGGAAGAGGTGGAGGCTCCATAAAAGACCCTTCTGAAGATACGACACAAGTGCATTGAGTAGTATGAAAGCAGACCCTAGACGCGGGATCGACGCGAGGGACAAGAAGAAGCACTAGTTGGCAGCTTTACTTTCACATTCCAATGATATCGGCTTATCGCAAGAGCTGTTTATGAAAGCGGCAGCTTCTGCAATAAGTCGTACCCTTAAAGTCCGCTCGCGATAGCCCGATAAAGCCGATGTCAGACTTTGCGAATCGAGCGGCTTGCCAGCGTCGGCGGTCGCGTCGCGCACAAGCGGTTGGGGGCTCCTCGTGAGCGACGCGCGCAAGTACGCCAGTGCATCGCTCGATCCAAATATAACGGCCTAAAGCGTAGACGACAGCGACGTACTTTGCGGTCCTCTCGCTCATTTTCCTTGAGACGGTCCGTCAAAGAAGTGAGCCATTTGGTTGGTATCCATATATGTTGTCAGTGATAACGTTCCTAAATAGTAAAACTGGTTTGACAAAAATTGAAGAGATGCGCTCGAGGTTTCACATCCCTTCAAGCAATTCATATCAGTGAGGCCTATATGATTCAGGCCACAAGCATTACCAAATGTGAACTCACACGGTACTGAACAGATCAGGAGGTACCAGACGGCAAGTGCGATAGAACGAATCCATCATCCAAAGCGTAGTGATAAACGATCGGAAAACAGTCCACTGTAAATGAAAGAATGTGAATTAATTCGGAGATGGGATCTTTATTAATGCAGGCAGGTCCCCCCCCCCCGCCGACAGAGGCCGTCTGACGAGAAAGGCAAAGACGCAGACGGGTCAGCGGACGAGTTCGCAGCGCGTGCTGTGTGATGTGGGACGTACTATAGTAGCATACTATTCAACTTGACGCTAAATCACTACAGTACGCGCTGCGACTCGTCCGCTGACCGTCTGCGTCTCTGCCTTCTCGCCGTGCGACAGGCCTCCCGCCGGGTACACGCAGGTTACACGTCAGTACCTTCTCCTCCTGGTTAAGTAACGCAAACTCTTCAAAGGTCGTGTTGACAAAATCAGCCACTGCCGGCAGTTGTGTTCGCATAATGTTGAGGACTTTTGTAGAGCTTCCCAAAACAAGATCCTGAAACTGTATAAAAACTGTTGAAGTGTAGAAAAGTGACTTTTTGAGCCACGGACAAAGGTAAAGAGCAGCAAGCGATTACCAAGCGTACAGGCCACGTAGCAATGTAGCGTGAATGGCAGACAATTAGCTCATTGCCGATTTGGCACTTCATGCTCAGTGCCACTACTGACAACTAACATCCTCTGTACCTAATTCCCATCATAGAGGGCGTAATTGTGATTTGGGGAGGGGAGAATCGCATTGAGAGCAGCCTCTCCCCAAAAGGCTTGAAGGGAGAGAAAGGCCGCACTTGTTGGTGTTGAAAGGGTCGCGGTTGTGGGATAGGGGAGTCGTTTTTGTGGATGACCCTCCACATGTGGTGGTAGGGGAAAGGGATACACATTTGTGTGCCCTGCAATATATGAGCGTTCAGCGAAGCGCTATCCACTCCCCCATAGCGATGATGGGGAGCGCTTCGGAGGAGGGGCACATCTCAGGGTGAACAGTCGGTCGTTCCAATTCCAAAAATTCGACCCCCTCCCACCACTCCCTCCTTCGTCATAGAGGATCTCCTGCTACCGGTGTCTGACTTCGCGTCGTAATTTGCTCCGTAGCAAATCCGTGGATTTACAAAATTTGACACCGACCCTAAGGTCCCCCTCCCTCCCCGCCTCCAATCACGTCACCCACCATCACCGCTGTTTCTATTTTGAGACCAGTCGACGCAGCTCAAACTCCGCCCACTTCTATCAAAACGGCCACCGAATGGGAGGAGTGGGGGGGGGAAGGCTAAGGGAGCCCCAGATGTTCGACTTTTGTCTAGATTGCACTGCATTCAAAATGTTCCCCAAACCCATCAGAAACCCACCTAACACACAACGCCACTCTTCCACCACCACCACGATCCTTCAACTCTCAGAAAAAAAAACGACCCTTTCCTTTTCAACCTTTCCACCGCCTTCATCGGCTTCAAATGCAACTCACCTCTACTCCAAAAAGAACTCATGTACGACCTTCTCCATCGAAACTGTTCAACGCGCAGGGTTGACCCTGGACACACTGGTCTTAGGAGTGTAGGAATGTTTCATTGATCGGAGGTGAAAGTCGATTTTAGGATCGTTGCGATGTTCTGTTGCGCACCGGGTCTCAGCATCATATACCCTCCCTTTCAAAAACGAGAAGAGCGTCGGGTGCAGACCATACACCACAAGTGACGACGGCCTCCACAAAATGTAAATGTTTTCTGCCAATGAAATGATTAGCCTGTTGCAGTTGTATTCTATCAGTTGTCACTAATTACAACTATCATTTACCAAAAATCAGCTATCACTATGAACCACTACTAACCAGATTTACTTGGAGGCCGTCGTCACTTGTGGTGTATGGTCTGCACCCGACGCTCTTCTCGTTTTTTGAAAGGGAGGGTATATTGAGTTGGAGCATAATATCGCAGCGCTTGCATTTTTCATTTTTGCACACAAACGTTTTTTAGCAAAAAAAAATAATCAGTGATGTTTACTGTGTCATTCTTTACTAGTTTGACCGCACTTTGCAGGAAATCGCCGGACTCAGAATTTAAAAAATAATGAGCTCTTTTTGAAGCCCTCATTTATCAATCTGTACGACATAAACATGGCTTCAATTCATGCATCAAAGGTAGGATCGGAAAGTTCGATAGAATCAATGGGTTCTTAAAAAGCTGTTCTGACGTTTTTTTCTCCTTTATGTGAATCGAAGAAATAGCAGCTGTCGAAAGCCAGATTTTCTGCCGTCTGGATTTTCCAACTTCTAAGCATTATGTATGAGTACAAATATAATTTTGAGGGAAATGACGAAGTAATTTTTGTAGAGCGAAAAAAGCACTTTCAAAAGGTATAGGCGATTTTTAGGGTTTATCTTGTACTGATTGAATTTACACGCCGAAAAAAAAACGCTACGATATTATGCTCGAACTCAATATTTTCAAAAACAAAAACAAAGCAAGGCAGAACCAAGCTAGCAACTGCTGATGTCATTAAAATAATTTATGTCTAGAATTCGTTCCAGTGCATTTTTCTCACCGATTCTCTTGTTGATCCGTCGAACATACTTCGCAACGAGGAACCATTCATGGATAGTTCGGTACTCTTTCGAACTGCGCACAATTGCCTAAAAGCTTATAATTAGTTTGATGTAACAGTAACTTCCATCTTCCGCAAGGGAATCTAGAGATATAAGGCGCTCAAGTATCGCGCTATCACAACAGTTGATGAGGCTATACTATGGTCATGGGATTTTTCAATGAAGAAACCAATTGATAAGCTAGGAATGAGCGTTAAACAGATGAAGCTGGGTGGGGAGCAGGTGCGAATGTGACGGCGGCGGCGCGCGCCGAGGAATCCTACGGCTCTTTCGAGGATGGTTCGCCTGATCATTCAAGCTCTCGGCGCGCGGCGTTCACACTCGTCATGCGCGAGCAGTCCTGCTCTCCGCGCATACGTTCACTGTCAGCTCGCAAGCACAGTACAAAGCCATGGTCGAGGAATACTCGACCGTTATTCACTCTGATAGGGAGTGATCGAAAAAAAAAACAAAAAGAAACCGTTGCTCACCCTCCACACCGACTCTTAAATGAATCCTGTACAAATCAAACAGTACCTGTAGTTTTGCGAGATTTTTGTCAGGAGACAGGGCGTTTCCGGTTGATGCTGATCATCGACGTTTCAAGTGGTACAACACGCGTGACGGTAGGGAGTTGATTTACGAGTTGAAAAGCCGACAATGAACTTCGTTGCTGAAAAGAGAGACTAGGCAGTATGTGAAAGAGCTTAGAAGATAAGATTCGTAACTAGTGATAACTAAGGAGTTCAGTAATAACAGATTCAATCCTATTCACATCAACGTATGTTTGTTATCATAAATGGGTTTTTGTACTGGAGCTGCTGTGGTATTCTCTGTAATCTCTCTACTAACCCTCTATGTCTCGCATGAAGGCTTGGTTGTAGAGTCGCGATCCGTCGCGCGAATATACTTATCCTTATGAAAATCTCGAGGGCGAATTATATAAAGTCTCAAGTGCGCCGATCAATACTGGCAAGGTGCGTCTCCAATCGCGCAGCTTTTGTTGAATATTGGTTGAATGACGACTGTTCATGATTCTACTTGTTTCATATTCAGTGTTTCAAATGTTCAAATGGGGCACTTGATTTTTTGCGATTCGCGCGAGTCGCGCGACGGATCGCAGACTCTGACACCAGCCTAACTTTCTCATCTCTCTCTATGTAGGTGCACACACAATGAAAAATCTTGTGAATCTTCATATTCCTCAAAGAGTTCCAGTGCTCGGCCCAGTCCTAATCGTGTTCACATAAAAGTGAGAAAAGAGTAGACCTGCTAGGGTGTTAGCAGTGCACCCTCCCTTGCCACTTGCTACGCTTGCTTCTCCTTTTAGAGAAATTTACCTTGACGATGCTCCTTGGAGCTAACTTTTTCTCACTATCTACGCATTTCGGACGAAACGATTTTTTTCAGTGTAAAAGAGATTGAAAAGACAACGTCTACTATCCGATTCACTATCTATAGGATTTTTTTTAGACAGATGAGGTCATTTCTGGAAGTTGAGGGTCGTGGTTGCGCAATTGGGTGCCGAGTTTGAGGGTTTGATGTTTTTGGCATGAATTTCGGAAAGAAGCGCGACGAGAAAATATTCACCCCATAACCCCCCCCCCTCCTCCACCCAGCTCGTCAGCC